CGGCCGAGTGGCACGTTGGTTAAGAGCTGGCTTGGGACGCCAGCTCTGAGCAGCAGGGCCCCGGTTCAGATCCCACATAGGCCAGTGACACTGCGCCCGCTACAGCTAAGATGGTAAACAACAGATCGACCTGGAGCTGGGCTGCCGTGAGTCGCCGGTGACAGTGTAGAACCCCTGCTGCAGTGGGCTGCCATAAGCTACTGTGAGTGGCCGGCAGCCTGCATGAGCTGCCAAGAGTGCCATGAGTGACTGTCCAGAGTCCGGCGACCTATCTGCCTCATTTGGGAAGAGCGCAGTGATAATACCAACATGGGCCAGGGAAGCAACGTCCTCCACAACTACACTAAAGAACAAAAGGATAGCAATTTGTCTGTTCCCCTCCCCCAATTCCCCAATAAAATCTTAAAAAAAAATTCTTTCTTTGTCTTTAAGCTTTGGCATTTTAATTATGATGTATCCTGGTGTGGGCCTATTTGGGTTCATCTTGTATGTGATTCTCTGTATTTCCTGGGCTTTTCTGTCTATTTCCTTCATCTGATTAGGGAGGTTTTCCATCATTATTCAAATAGGTTTTCAATGCCATGCTCTGTCTCTTCTCCTTCTGGTACCCCTATAAGGTGACTGTTGGTACACTTGATGTTGTCCCAGAGGCCCTTTAAACTTGCCTCAATTTTTTGGATTCTTTTTTCTTTTTGCTGTTCTGATTGGGTGTTTTCTGCTACCTTCTCTTGTACATCACTGGTTCGATCCTCTGCTTCATCTAATCTACTGTTGGTTCCCTGTAATGTATTCTTCATTTCCATTATTGTATTCTTTATTTATGACTGGTTCTTTTTTATGTTTTCTATCTCTATTTTTATGTTCTCTTTGTTGAAGTTCTCCCTGATATCATTAAGCATCCTTACAACCAGTGTTTTGAATGCTGTATCTGGTATATTGCCTATCTCCATTTTGTTTAGTTCTTCTGGAGCTTTGTTCTGTCCTTTAATTTGGGACATATTTCTTTGTCTCCCCCATTTTGGCTGCCTCCCTGTGTTTGTTTCTATGTATCAGGCAGGGCTACTATGCCTCCTGGTCTTAGTAGAGTGGCCTTATATAGTAGGTGTCCTGTGAGGCCCTGTGACACAATCCCTGGCCTCCAGAGCTAGGTGCTCCAGGTGTGTCCCTTGTGTGGGTTGTGTGTGCCCTCCTATTGTAGTTGAGCCTTGGTTGCTGTTTGCATGTCAATGAGAGGGATTCAACCTCAGGCTGATTGGTTGTGAGGACTGGCTATGACTACAGTGGAGAAGCTGTTGTGAGGGGCTGACCCTACAGAGCAGGATTCGCTTTAGCAGGGCTCTGGTGCCTCCCCAGTCTACCCTTAGGGTGTGTCATCCTTGGAGGTGGCTGGGTGATGCCTCAGCTCAGTCTAAAGCTGGCCTTCGGGTGTGCCAGGTTTCAGGGCTTCCAGGGAGGGGCCCCGCCACAGGCCAAGTTCAGCCACAGCCTGTGCCCTGCCTGGGGCCACCTGACATAAGCCACAAAGCAATCCATAGATGGCCGCCACCCATGCTGGGTTTGAAGGTGCTTCAAGTGACCCAGCCACGAACTGGGACTGGCTGTGGCTAGTGTCGGGCTTGAGGCTCTTCTACAAGTGGTGTGGGACATGCCAAAGCCAGATGCTGCTTGTTTGGGTTTTGTGAACCTTTGAGAGATTTTAGGAAAGTCTGCAACATGATCCAAAACAGGCTCTTTGTACCTGAAAGCCATTGGAGGTGGCTTCCATGGGCCCAAAAGTTGGGTGGGATGGGGTCTCTGGGAATCAACCGGGGCAGGGCAAAGGAATGGTGTTAGCCAGGTTGGAGACTCAGATATGGTGGCCACGCTGGGAGTGGGGAGAGCTCAATAAAGAAACAGTGGCTTCTGCCAGCTGCTCCATCTGGGAGAAAGCTGCCCCTCCAGCTTTCACCCTGAAGCCAGACAATTCAATTCCTGCCCATATGTCCCTTACACATCTTGAGTTACTGCCCTAGTGCTGGAGCTTGGAGTGACTCAGTCCATCAGCAAGTAAGTCTGTGTGTGGGCCTTTTAAGAAGAATGCCTGGGACTGCAGCTGCCCTAGACTCACTTAGCCACAATCTCTGCTGGTTTTCACAACCAAAAATTATGGGGACTTCTCTCCCCACCACTGAAACCCTGGGCTGGGGAGCCTTGTGTGGGTCTGGGGAGCCTTGCGTGGGTCTCCTCCAGGGAGACTCCACAGCTGAGATATCCCTCCCAATTTTTAATGGTCACACACAGGTGTGGGACCAGCATGTTCCAAATCTCCACCCCTCCCACCACTCTTGAGGCGGCTTCTTCTGTATGTCCTCTGTTGTAGGGCTTCAGTTTAGCTAGGCTTCAGGTGATTCTCAATGATCATTGTTCTACAGTTTAGTTGTAATTTTCATGTGGTCGTGAGAGCAGGTAAGCACAGCATTTACATACTCTGCCATCCTGACAAAAAATCTCAGATACTAATCAATGACTTCTTTTATTACTTAGATAACAATTCCCTTTCCTTCTGAGAAATGTAGGTAGTAAATCTCTTCTGGGAGATTCTGGGTCCCAGCTCCTAAGTACAGTAATACCTTGGTTTGCGAGCATAATTCATTCCGGAAACAAACTACTCTTATTGCAAGACATCACTTGTTTACTATGTTAAGATGTATTAGAAATGTTTGCTCATCTAGCGGAACACTTGCAAACTAAGTTACTCTCATTCCAAGGTTTTACTGTATTGTGAAATATTGAAATTACAGTGGGAATTCCATATGGGAGCCAGGTTATAGCAAAAATTTGAAATAGAATCCCTAAGACAGATCCTATTTATGAACTATTATCATTTAGCCTCAGAATCAACAAAAGGGAGGTAGGGAAAGGCTATCTGTGCGTACCTGCCTGGCATGCAACTGTACAGCTGTCCCTCAAAGCTCTTTTGTTTGCACCACCCTTTGAAATACTCATGTTACAATGTGTGTGCAATAAGGCCTCTGACATGAAAAAAAAAAGTTACTAAATATACTCATGTAGTTTCCCCATGATAACCAGCTTCTGATTTAAAACACTGCCTCAGTTTTCTCACTCAACATGTATTCTATTAAGCAATAGTGCTAATGTGAATCTATCTGGAAAACCAAAATCCAGATGTTAAGGAAATTGTTTTGATATACTACTTCTGAATCATTCTAAGCATGACAATAGTTTTCGTTCTCAATTAAATTTTATATCATTTTCTTTCTTTTTTGTCTCTAATAGTTTCATGATTTTAAGAACCAAATTAAACATAACCATGGGAGAAGCTCTTATTGTTTCTGTTTTGAATTTCTTCAACATTGTTACAAGAAGTATGTAGTGAAGCTGTATAGTACAGTGGTTAACATGAGCTTTGGATTCAGGCAGATTTAGACTCAAATTCCGGTTCCACCATTAACATAACTTCAGGTGTCCTAAGTTCTACTCCATTTCTCTGTTTATCAGAGAGAATAATACCTACCCTAAGGTATTATTAAGTGAGAGAATGTATCTAGAGCATATTGCACAGAGCCAGGCACATAGTTAACTACTCAATAAACAGTAGATATTATTTTACACATATACATACACATTGAAAAATCTGGAAAACAAAGAAAAGTATCTTTAATTCTATCACCCTAGTAACACAAACATGTATCTCTTTGTAATTTATGTCCATATAAAAACTTATTTTTATAATTGTAACATACAATTTTTTAACATTATAATCATTTCTCCATGTTACCATGTAGGATTCATAATTACCTTTTCAATTTGTTGAATGAGAGTCCATTAAGTAAACTACCATAATTTAACCTCTAAATTTCTGCCAACTACTGAGGTTTTTTGATATTACAAATAATGCTACAATAACATTTTCATGCATATAGTTTTTTCATCCTGTGGAATTCTTTCCTTAGGATAAATTTCCAAAACAAGTATTTTTGGAGTAACCATGCTCTCAACCATGGGCTATATTTCTGCTTTACTCTTTTTTCCCCCAATTAATAATAGATGGGAAAAGATATATTCACTAATGTTTTAATATTCAGCTCTTGATTACTAGCAAAGTTGATTCTTTTTACATATGTTTGTTAAACTCTATATTCTTGTTCTGTTATTTATTCATATTATTTAGCAACTTCTGTAAAGTGGTGGGAGCAATTGTGTTCCCCATGTACTTTTTACTAATGGGGTGTGTCAGTACAACCTTCACACAAGAGGTCCAGGTCCCTTCTTGATGACTTTACGGAGCTGTCAGTTTATAAGAGAAGGTGCTCTTTCTGTTTTTCCTTCTTCCTGCCTAATATGTGCTGAATACAAAAATGTTCTAGAAAGTTATCATGTCTATATCTTTTCAACATTACTCACTCATATCATGTGACCCTGGCTGGTTTGGAAGACCCTATTATGAGTAAGAGTGAAGACCCAAAGTACCCTGAGGGGTGACACACTAAAATAATTTTTTTAATACTTTTTACCCCTCAAAGTGACAACCCCCCTCCCCCAATCCACTGCCCCACTCCCCCCACCAATATCATACATATCTATTACAATTCCATTGACTCCACTCCCACACTATACTCCACGTCCCATGACTATATATATATATATATATATATATATATATATATATATTCAATTATAGTTGACATACAATATTAATAATAATAATTTCTTAACTGAACCAATTTACCAAAGTCTTTGGGAACTAATATAACTCATTTGCCCCATTCTCTCCCTTTCTTTTTCCATCCTCAAATTTCTCTTCGGCTAACTAAGATACAGACTAAAATACATAGGTTTTTGTGAACTTGTTATCCAAACAACTTGAGCATCATTCAAAACTTATTTCCCATAATGTTTAGAAACATCATTAAAACCTCACCTATGCTTTACTAAGCAAAATCAGATTTACCTAATACATCTAAACTTTAATCATCCTATTTTAAAAGATGCTCCATTACCTGCATTATGTCTTGCAATATATCCAAGTGCCCAGGCTCCAGCCTCCTTCACTCCAGGGTCAAAATCTTCCAAGCATATCACCAGTGCATCCAGTGCTCCGCAATCAACTACTGCCTGAGCCAGTTGAGGAGAATGTTTAGCAACTGCTCGTAACACAAAGGCAGCTGCTTTCTTATAAAAACGCTATAAGGGTAAAATTGATAAAACTCAAAGTGAGTTGAGCACTTATATAACAAAAAGTTAAAATAGACCAAAACCAATGTAAAAATGACATTACTGTAATAAAACTCAACAGCATTTAAATACAAAGCATGAAATACATCTTGCAAAATCATTTTGATTTTTTTCATGTTCCCCATTGCTTTTGTTCAGTAACTGAACTAAAACAATATCTTACATTACATTTCAAATGTTTTATTCTAAAACATGCATTTATAAAATAAAATATTATATCTCCTACTTATTATATTTCCTACAAATTCATAAAATAATAAGATTTTATGTATCTGCATCACACTGAAAGGTATTTGTTTGACCTATGGAAACTCTTAGACTCTTAGCATGTGCAACTAAACTGTCAACTCACAAATTTGTTTCTTTACTTGCCCTCAGTCTCTAAGCATGGTAGGTCTTTCATGGCCTCAACTAATCTTTCTGGTGTCCTAAATTATCCTGAAGTAACAACCATGTTTTAAGATGCACTTACCAATCATTGGATAAACATAAAGGCAAAACATTCTTGATACATTTTAAAACTTGTCCTGACAAATAAACTGTCCAAACAATGGGATGTGTTATTTACCCCTTTTTAGAAGTACTTTTTTAAAAAGGTGAATACAAATGACTTACCATTATGCAAATTTTAAGTAATGATTCATATTTATATTTAATATATATAAACTTATTAGACTAAGAAAATAAAACTAAAACAATTTTCTTCATATAACTAAAAAATTATTTAGTAAGTATTTAGCTATAATACTCACTGTGGTTTTATGGTTCACATAATGACACAGTAATGACTCCTACCTCTTCTTTTTATTAATAGAACCCAGTTAATCCCCTATTTTAGATTCTTTGTTTCTATTTCTTTACAGTGACTACTTAAAAGTGACTGGGTGACTATGGCATTCACTTTGAAAGCATTCTGTTTAGTTAGTCTAAAAGCTTAAGGTATAATAAAAATTATAGGAGAGGGAAAATACATCAAGTATATTTTCTACATATTATATCTCAAAACCTGGTATATACTGATGATATAAGAAATACGCTATATTAGTAATAATGTCTGGATTTTGTGTATTTCTGTAGCTTCTTAAATATAACATATATAGATATTAAAATATTTGTTGTAAAGTCTAATTTTATATCTCAGTAACCAAATATCTATTTATATATTGTAAAAATTAGAATAGAGTTTTAAAGTAGCTTTCCACAGATTATTTTCTTATAATTGTGGAAAAATAATGGTGATACATTTCTTGTTATTAACTTAATTTGTCTTTTTATATTGCAGAATTTTCAAATTCACAGACAATTTATTGGGCATCAATAGTCACTACTAACTACAGTACCTATAATTCACACTTTTTTATCTCATTCCCCTTTTCTCCTAATTTCCACTTTCCCAAATTCCCGTCTTCTCCCATTCCTCACCAAAATAATTTCCTTAAAAAAAAAAAAAAAAAGCAAAAGCAAAACTAGAGGACTTTGTATCTCATAAGAAGAGATTAAGTCTCCTGCGAGAAATGAGTTAAAGGACGAGTAGGGAACAAGATAGACGCTTGTGACACAAGTATTGCTGAAAACAACCTTTTGTTTGCCTAGGCCTTCATACGAGCATATACTGTTCTAAGACTGATCCTATAACTTTAATACTCCCAATACACAGAAACACTGCTTTATGCATAATTTCATTAAAATTTTTAGTCTGTTTTCTCCTTATGTTACCAGTAATTGAGAAAAGCCGCATATCAACCCCAAAATAAAATACCCTAAAGATATTATTATGCACAGTTCAAAGAATTGAAGGTGTATTAACATCTTAATAATTCTAACACCTACAAGCTTGTAACTGTACCCAAACTATCAATTTTTTAAAAAAATCCAAGGTAGCAACAACAAGAACATATAACTTATTTTTATTTTTAATCTTACATTCTGTTCTGCCAATGAATAAACAAGCTGTGGAAGAATGTCGCTCTCCACAACTGCTTCTGCTAGGTCATCATTATAATTAGCCAGTCTCCCAAGAGCCAAAGCAGCAGTCTGTTGAATTGTTGGGACCACATCCAGAAGAAGAGGTCTCAGCAAAGACACTACACCTGAGATAAATTATGAAAGAACAGAAATCAGCAAAAAATAAATTAAAAAGCAAACATACGGGTCAGCCGAGTGGCTCAGTTGGTTAAGAGCTTGCTCAAGAGTGCGAGCTCTGAGCAACAGGGTCACCGGTCTGATTTCCACATGGGCCAGTGAGCTGCACCCGAGCTGAGCTGCCGCTGAGCTGCCAACAGGTGGCAGGATGACTCAGCTGGTGAGAGCACGTGCTCCGAACAACAAGGTTGCCTGTTCCAGATGGTGGGCTACGCCCACCCACTACAAAGACTGAACTGGGCACCTTGAGCTGAGCTGCTGTGCAGCTCGGGTGGCTCTGTGGATAGAGCATGCGCTCTTAACAATGAGGCTGCTGGTTCAACTCCCACATGGGATGGTGGCTACGCCCACGCACAACTAATTGAACACAGCACCTTGAGCTCAGCGGTGCAACTAGACTTGGAGCTAAGTTTCCTGTGCCCTCCACAACTATGATTGAAGGAGAACAACTTGGCTGTTCTCTTTCCCCAATTCCCCAACACTGTTCCCCTCCTGCAATTCCCCAATAAAATCTAAAAAAAAAGCAAACATACAATTCAGCATAGATGCAGATAAGAAAATTGAGGGGAAAATCAGCAAAAACAAAAAAAATTATCCACTAAAAACTAATGGGATATTTAGAAGCATATAGCTGAGCAAGACAAGAATAATACAACCTGTAATGGTCAAAGCAGCAGCATAACATGGAAATAAGAAAGGTTTGGGATTAGGTAAGAGTTTAATCCCTGATGGCAAATACTGGCTATGTGACCTGACAGGGCTGTCATGAGGAATGCAGAGAAAGGCTGTGAACCACAGAATACAATGCCTACAACGTGGGGTGGTAGACTCCCCCGCCCTGGCCCATCCTACCCCAGCCTTTGCAAATCCTATCTTTCAGAGCTCAGTTCAGGTCCTTTCCTCTCAATGAAGTCTTCTGCTTGTTTGTTTTTCTCTGATTCCAACTGCTGGGTCTTTTCTCTCATTCCAAATGAACTTAGAGTTTATTACAGAAATTGAATCAGGATCTCTATCTCAGAGCCAGGGGAGCTAGGAGGGACATTTGGCCAGGACCTCACATTCATGAAGGGCTGCAAATCAGGTTTCTGACATTATCTCCAAATAAATACATTCTTTGAGATAAGGAAGTATATCATATTACTAGCTCTCATAATATTGACTCTAGGTTTGAATACATAGTAGGTATATCATCACCACAACAAAAATAATAAAAGTAGCTTATATTTATGGAGCACTTATATGCACACGTTGTTTTAAGGACTTGTTTTCCATATTAATTCACCAAACTCTCGTAACAAACCTATGAAGTAGGCCCTATTATTATGTCTATTTTACAGATGAGAAAATGGAGGCTGAGAGAAGTTAAGGAAATCATCATACCACTAAGAAATGGTGGAGCAATGTTAGAAATTCTGACATTCTTTATTGATAATTGCTAAATAACATGTATTAAAACTTGGGCCGGCCGAATGGCGCGATAGTTAAGAACTGGCTTGGGACGCCAGAGGGCCCTGGTTTGGATCCCACATATGAGGGCCAGTGACACTGCCCTCTACAGCTAAGATGCTGAACAACTGCTCAACCTGGAGCTGGGTTGCCATGAGTTGCTGGTGATGGCGTAGGCTGCAGCCCCTGTGGCAGCGGGTTGCCGTGGGCTACCGTGTGTAGCCAGCAGTCAGAGTGAGCGGCAGTCCAGAAGCTGGCAACTGATCTGTCTCGCCCGGGAAGAGCGCAATGATCGTGCCAACTTGGGCCAGTGAAGCAATGTCCTCCACAACTAGACTGAAGAACAAAAGAACAGCAACTTGTCTGTTCCCCTTCCCCCAATTCCCCAGCGCTGTTCCCATCCCCCCAATTCCCCAATAAAAATCTTAAAAAAAAAAAATTGAGGAGGTGGGGAAAGGGAGACAAATCATAAATGCAGTTTGGTCATTTTATTGGATATTCCAACTCTTCATGTTAACTTTGCCTTACTATAAATATGCAAAATAGCCAACTGCTATTTGTGCTTTAATGATGGTGTTTTAGTCTAAGGTTACAAGAAAGGTAATGACAGAGTTCAAACTGGAAAAAAGTGCCCCTTGACTTTCTAAACATTACACAACTTGAGTTACTACATCTTTTCTATAAAAATATGCCCCAGTAATCTACAAAAGCAAATATTACTAATATTCTTTCATAATGTTATATCCAGAAACACTAGCATAAAAGAATAGAATAAAGTACATTTATAATGATATGTACTCTTCACCACTAAGAACTGTTAAACTGTTTTTTACAAAGGCCGCACCATTTTACATTCCCACCAGCAAAGTACAAGTGTTCAAATTTGTCCACATCCTCACCAACACTTGTTAGTTTCTTTTGCTTTCTAAATAATAGCCTAACTAATAGGTGTAAAGTGGTATCTCATTATGGTTTTGATTTTCATTTTCCCTAGCACTAATGGTGGTGAATGTCCTTCCATGTGCCTATTGTCCTTTTGTATATCTTCTTTGTTGAAATGTCTATTCAAGTCCTTTGACAATTTTTGAATTGGGTTACTTGTTGTTGTTGTTGAATATAACTTGATATATTTGATAATCAATATGCACCATTTTAAGTAAAGTAAGTTAATATTTTTAAAAAGAAAAGCTAAATTTGTTAACAGATTTAAAGTTCCACAATAAATACACTAACTAGGCAAAAAAATATAAAAGTATAAGTATGCTTAGTTTAAAAAGAATCACAATTATGTTTCACATTATTTTTTTCTGATTATTCTGTTTGTTTTCTCACTTGATAAATTTATGTGAAGTAGTGACTTATTGCCTTTGAAATGTACTTGGGAATCAATCTATACTGGGCTATTCAACCTAGATATTTTGAATTGAAACCTCAAGAACTTTGAACTTTTATGTTAACAATTTGAAGAATGAATTCATCTGTCTAGGTCTATAATATTTAATTGAATTATAAATGTTTCTTATTAGTTATAGTATTTAGCTAATGTAACAAAAGTCTCCCAATTTTGAAAATTTTCAATTTGTAATTTTAGCAGTAAAATACTTTACATGCCAAAAGGTATTTCACTTGTACAATATACTCAAAAGAATTTTCTGCTTTATCTATTTTCTCCTCCATTTTGCTACTGCATCTAGCCCAGGAAAAATAGTGTCAAGAAATTGATATACAATTCCTTTCCTTCTATTTCCTTCTATATCCAAGTTAGGTTTCTACACAGTTGCTTCTGCTCTACATACTTTTCCTATATCCCTTAGTTCAGACAGTAGCACAATGGGACTTTGAAAATTTTTAAATCTCTGAACCTATAAAGGTAAAAGCTAAAGTTTTCATTTAAAATATATTTGTTTGAATAAGATCATTCTTATTAGAGAAAATATTGTCCTAAATTTCTAGTCCTTGAATTGCCTCTCAGTGCTTCATAATCATTAGTTCCCAGGGACATGTTTTGTTTTGTTTATCTCTTACACAGATTAAACATGGAGATTTTGTTATTCTAATTACAGGTTTGTCCTAAAAATACAGATAATGATGCAAGAGGAAGAGAGGGAGAGAGAGCGAGAGAGAGAGAGAGCGAGAGAGAAAGGAAGGAGAAAAGAAGTATATATAACATAAAAATAAAACTTTCCTTACCCACCTGTCCATTAGGAATCCATAGTGACTAATCCTTGGTGAGCAAATGGATGAAAATTTAGAGTCCATAAATTACAGCAGTCTGAATAGTCGCTGCATATCTGATACACAAGATCTCTAAGGGAGCAGCTAATGACCTCATTGGGGTGTCCACTGAAGGAGCAACATATACCAACACCAAATATTAAAATAATAATTCATATATTATACTTTAATATCTATAAAACAATTCTGTCTACTCTATACAAACTGATAAAATGGTGTGAAATTATTTCTGAAATTTAAATTCTAGGGTAAATCTTTACAATTTCTCCCCCTCCCCAAATTTATAGCTTTAAGTTCCTTTTCCATTTTTCTTGTTCCTGTGCCGTACTAGTTACATTGCTGCTAATACCTACACTGCAGTCTAGTTATGCCCAAAACAGAAACCTCGCTGATGGTGTCCACAGTCATTTATTTAAAAACACAGATCAGGGTTTACCAAGTGACAAGGAATAGGACTACACATGAGTTAAGGCAGCTCCTCCTCTCAAGAAGCTAATAATCTAGTGGAGGAGATTATAAAATAGTATCAAAATAATCACAACTCTTCAATTCCTTTTAATACAACATAGGCTTAATTACTTTGATTTTGCATGCCAACTGTATATATAAATCAGGAAGGAAATGGCAAACATTTCCAAAGACAAAAATATTACTCACTAAGTCTTATTTTACATGTAAATAGATTATATACATATTATCTCAGTCTTCTGTTTATAAAGATATTTAACATCTCAACTCTGTTTCTTTAAAAACAAGTCTGCAAACTGGGCCTTTGGGCCCATTTAAGTCATGGTAAAGATTTCTGGTTTCCCTGGTTACTTATCTTCGTTTTGTTTTTCAATTTTTTTAAATTTTATTTATTTCTATTGTGATAGAATACATATAACATAAAATTTATCATTTTAACCATTTTTAGGTGTACAATTCAGTGGCATTAAGTACAGTCCTAAGGTTGGGTAACCATCAGCCACTATCATTTCCAGAATTTTTTCATCATTGCTAAAAGATACTATATACAAACTAAAGAGTAATTTCCCATTTCTCCCTACCCCCAGCCCCTGGTAACCTCTATTCTACTTTCTATCTCTTAATTTGTCAACCTAGATATCTCACATAAATGGAATCATATATTATTTGTCCTATTTTTGTCTGGCTTATTTCATTAGCATGATTTCAATGTTCATCTATTGAGCATGTATCAGAATTTCATTCCTTTTTAAGATGAATAATATTCCATTGTATGTATACCACATTTTGTATGTTCATT